TCTCTCTCTCTCTCTCTCTCTCTCTCTCTCTCTCCTCCCCTTTTTGCTCTTGTTATTTTTTTCTATCTTCTACCACCAAGAACTGTCACCCTTCTGCCATGCTACCCTGACTTGGAACCAGCTGATTATGGGCTGAAACTTCCACAAACTGTGAGCTAAATAAACCTTTCCTCTCTTAATTTTTCACATTGGGTATTTTGTCTCAGCAATGAGAGAAAAATAACCAAGACGTCTCTTTTATTCAGCCTTGGCTTGAAATCCACTTTGACTAAAAATATAATAGCTACCCTTGCTTTTTGCTGGGTTCTTGTCACAGGAGTATTGTTTTCCATCCTTTGAACTTAAGTCCATACATTTCTTTTTGAGTTAAGTGTGTTTCTTGTATGCAGCATATTGTTGGATCTTGTTTCTTGGTCCATTGCATCAGTATCTTTTAAGTAGTGAATTAAAACTATTAACACTGATGGTTATAAATCATATATATTGAATTAGCCTTGTGGGCTATTTTCCTGTTGTTTCCCTTTATTTCCCCTCTGTTTAATTATTTACCTTGCCTGATGGAATAATTCAGTTGGGGTTCATGGAGTTGTAGTCTATCTCTAGAATGTCCTTCAGGACATTTTTTGTTGGCTTGGTCGTCATGAATTTCTTCAGATATTTCTTCACCATTGAAGTATCTTATTTTTCCTTTAAATTTGAAGGCTAGTTTTGCAAAGTACAACTATCTGGGTTGAAGGTGTTTTTCCTTTAGGGCTTAATGAAATTTTTTTTGGTAAATAACCTGTTTCTTTTCTCTAACTGGTTTTCATATTCTGCTGTTTGGTTGTATGGGTTTTTTGTTTGTTTTTTTTTTTTGTTTTGTATTTTAGGGAAGGGTCTATAGGGTGTTAAGTGTGAGAATTGGAGGATATTCTTCCCTGCTCACCAGCACTTGCTGGCTAGAGCATTCTGCGACAAAGTGAATGTATCAAATAGGTGTTTTTTTCAAAGTAAAGGGGAAAAGCAGGCCAGATAGTTCAGCAGACTAAAGGTCCTGCTTAGACAGGCACAAGGACCAGGGTTCAATCCCCAGTGTGCTGTGCTGGCCCTGCCTCCAGGGCGCACTGAGGTGGTGACTGAGACTGGGCGTGGTGGTGCACGCTGGTAATCCCAGTGCTTGGGAGGCTGAAAACAGAAAGATCATTAAGAGTCTGATCTGTGTAGTGAGACCCTGTAGACACTGTACTAAATACATTTTTAAAAAGTAAAGGGCAAATAAACCTAATACTACTGAGCTGTTACACACGTGTGCTAGAACTGGAGAAAACTTTTATAATTTGAAAGGAGTAAATAATAAATCAGAGAAGTTATTAAACTAACATAATACAGGCTAAAAATATAAACTAATGCACAAAATTGTTGATAAATTCATGTCTTACCTTTGGAAGCACTTAATTTAATTACCCTTTGCTGTTTAAGGAAATCTGATGATATTTGAATTATAGCAGTTCGTTATTGGAGGTCTTTATTTTGGGAAAGCCAGGTTGTCTTATTTAAATGCTGGGTAGTGCCAAAGGTAGTTAAGGAGAGTACTGAGACTAACTGTCGGGTATATAAAGGCTGGACAAATAAATGGTGTGACAAAGGTTTTTTGTGCTCTTCTGACCAATGTGAGCCCCTATTGCCACGCTACGGACACTTTCAGGAATGTAATAGTTATCATCGCCTTCTGCCTATTTCTTACCTACCTGTCTGTCAAGGACAAGATACTATGAAACGGAGCCTGTCTGAGTGGCGTGGTCCAATAGAACTCTACATTCCTTAAAATATTTTTAAACACTCCAGTAACCTGTTAAAGCAAAGAGAATCTGTTGATATAGCAGTGGCCTCAGTAACACGCCAGTGAGTTCTCTGTTCAGATGGGAGAGACAAAGGCTGTTTTGGTCATTATTTTCTCACTTAGATTCTTGAACATACATCTACACTGACAGTTGGTAGGAAGTGAGACTAAACTGTATCTTACCTAAAAGACTGAACCAGTTACAACCATATAGCATTCTAGAAAAGGCAGAGCCACATACAGGGCACAAACTGCTCAGCTGTTGCCAGGGGTTTGAGGTAGGAGTGTACAAAGCATGAACTATGTGGAGCACACGGGGGTAAAGGGTGTTAGATTAATTCTGTATGATATTTCAATGTTGAATGCATAATACTAGGCACCTCTCAAAACCCATATTACTGTATAATATGAAGAAGAAACCCTAAGGTAAACTATGGACTTATTTCATATTAATGTACCAGTATCAGTTTATCAGCTACAATAAATGTATCATACTAAGCCAATGAATGATAAGAGAAATAAGAGAATTAATGTCAGGGGGAATTGGGGAAAGTGCAACATATATGCACTCTCTGTACTGTCTGTTCAATTTTCTATAAACTTAAAATTGCTCTAAAAATAAATTATATTAATTAACAAAATCAGACTGAGCCACAGTGAAAATAAATTTCTTGGAAATTGAATTTATTGGGTGTGTTGGCCTTATAAGAACAACTCAAGGAATACTTATAAGAATACTTTTTAGGGGGCCTGCCCCTTAGCTCAGTTCTTTAAGTGGCTGCTTCAACAAAGCAGTCAGGCTCAGGTTGCTGTGGTTCGATCCCCACAACTCA